CATTGTGAGAATTCTGCCAGCTGCTTATGGAATATTTCATCTGCCTCTTCATCTTGGTGGTCTTTAGCAAGATTCCCACTAGGATATTCCCTTTTACTCTGGGCACTGTAGTAACTTCCAAAATTCTCACTCTCTCTTAAAAGAGTAAGGGTAGTAGTTTGTTCTACTCTGTATCAGTGGGAGTGTTTCTTTATGCAAACCCATTATGTGGTATATATCCATACAGCTCCAGAACCATTCCACTGCAGGAACTGCTGTATGACTCTCTTTGTAGGCTGTTTTGCTGTCTTGTATCATAACAACAGAAAAAAATCTCTTTCTTTTTTAAATATCTGCCAGCAGAGAGAGAACAGTACAAAGGAAGTACAAACAGTGCAGATCACATCAAGGGTGCGAACAGGCACGATAGATAAAAATGCATATCATCTTAAGTACACTCATAACTGTGTGTGCCAAAGAATTGCCTTTGCTGGTTTTCAAACCACTGACATTGATATTATGTACTTTTGAGCCATTGTTTTTATGTCTTTGTTTCTTCTTCTTCTTCTTCTTGGGTTGTGTTCTGTTTGTATGCTGTACTATTAATGATTCACTCTGAGCAACCAACCACATCACTTAACTAGTTTCAAACAAACAGTGAAGCTATATGATTCAGATTTTTTGAGGCAGTAGTATGTTCAGGTTATTTGAGTAACAGCTGTGACTTTTCAGGGTCTGCAAGAGGGAAAGTGGTAGATTACTGCAACAGAGAGCTGCTTGGAAAGTATCCAGTAGAAACTTGAACCTCTTCCAGGAAAATAGGCTTTGAATGTGCTGACTATAACAAGAGAGCATTCAAAGCTAATTTTTTAGTGAGTTTGTTATCACATTTACTTAAAAGTTGATCTCTTAAGATATGCTGGGAAAAGTATTAAGCTAAGCATCAACACTTAGAATGGCGGTCCTAAAAATAAGTGTTACCTACAGAAAAACCTTCAGCAAATCCTTTTTACCTATTTGTGTAGATGTGACTTTGCAGTTATTTTTTTCCTTACTCTAGACAGCCTAGAAGAACATATAGAAAAGAAAATACCATTAGTAGCAGCCAGATGTTATCTTTATTTGACATGTGTTAATGTGTTTTGAAAGCTTTACTTCAGTTTTTACTACTCAACTGATTTAAATTATCATCTTCTTAAACTTATCACTAAAAACAATGCATTCTTCTTTTTTGGGTTCTTTCTGATTGCTGTGTTTACCCTGTGCTCTTATATTTTGTGTGTGTTGAATGCTCCTTAAAAATACTGCAATCTATTTTGTAGTTCCATAGGGTGTATTTCTTGGTAGCTAACTGTTGCTGTTTTTATTTTCAAATAATTCTGGAAAATTTACAGCATCATAAAGTTTGCCTTTCCAAGTTTTCACCTATTATCCATTCATGCTGAAGATGTATGCTTGACTTTACACATACTGTAGTCAACGTTGATGGGATTGTCTGAAGTTAACCACATGCTACAGATGCTGAGAGTTCATAAATAACATGACCAAAGATAACAAATTAAAGAGAAGATGGAGAAGGGGAGGAGAAGGCATTACAGCAACTTCAAAAAAATTACATGGTTGCTCAGTTGGCTCATTTTCAGGCTTTCCTTGCAAGTTTTAAAATTGTGTCAGATTTTATGATCTAAATTCATGCTACAGGCGGAAACAAGTGTGAACTTTCTTCCATAGTGGAATATTTCTTTGTGTAGAGAGTAACTATCAGTTCTTACTCCTCCATAACTTTGGCATTTTGATGACGATCCCCTTTTTTTACTACTTTGTAGCACTAATGTGATTGCCCAGTGGGCTAAGGAATTGCTCATTTTTATGTAACTTTACATTTAAAGAAATAGCTGCATGTAGGCCTGATGCTTACCACTGATGCCCATAAGCAGTGGAAAAACAAGGTCAAGCTGTCATTGTGTGGGTATTTGGATACAAGTAATAGTTTTGAAAAGTTTGGAAACGGCAGTCAGAGATGTCACTTAGTCTTTACCTTCTTGACTAAACCTATTGGCAAACAGCACTAATTATGTGATTATATACTTTTATTTCCTTTTCCACTTCTATATTTTGAGAACAAAAGCCTACCCAGTGTTTCACTTGAATTTGCTTCCTTTCTGGTTTTGGACTGGTGCCTCATTTCAACATTGCTCCTTGTAGTGGAGGAGGTCACACTCTTTCCCATACCAGTGCAGTCCTAGTCCACAGTCCTCTTTCTGTTGTTGAAATTTTGCTCCCACCCCATCTGACGGCATGCAACAATATTATATTTGTGTGGCACAGGCACGTGAGGCTATGCTGGAATTTTGGGTGTTAGTTTAAACTTATTTAACAGTCTGCTTTTCATAGCAAAGCATTTTCTTTCTGCTGTTACAATTGTGACTTAATGACACCAAAATTCAGCTGTATCATCAAATGACACTTTGTCACTTCTGAGGCCATGTTCTTACCAGATTTCAGGTTCCAACTACTTTTAATGGAAGCGTTTGGTCTCTTCAGAAAAGTTCTCTATGGCAGGAAGGCTATGGGTTTGGTTTTTTTAATTTCCCACTCTCTGCAGTTATTTACAGAGCATTCTCCAATTCAAATTGCAATGAAAATACATCGATTCTTGGCCAGGAGGGACTGGGGCAGCCCAGCTGTTCGGGTGATCTCAAGCTGCTAGGCTACTACTCTTAAGTATAATGGTCTTAAGACCATATTACATCTGAGAGTCATTAATGATATTCAGTACATCCAAGCTTCAGTCTATGCTGTTGTCTTGCTGATCTGTGTATAGAGATTCCCAACAAAGAGCCGTAAAAAAGGGTATTACATTCACCGTGTGGTTTTCTTCCAGCTCTTGGGTAACCATCCTATATCAATAGAGGAGGTCATGTAATGCAAATTGGATAGGTCAGTAGGCAGATCTGTATGGATTGTACAGTAGTGATAATGAGTGCTCCTCTTCGGTTGACATTGTAGTAGTTAACAAGGGGAAAGCTCACTGTTGATATTCTCAGGCTCTTCTCAAAGTCTTTGCTTTAAGCCACTGGCAGATTCAGACCAAGATCTTCATGCAGTGGTTTATAGCACATTCTCAAATAGGAATAGGAAATTCCTTGTTCAAAACCAGGTAGCAGAACAAAGATTATTTTGTTCATCCCTTTTCTTTTGTTCATTCTTCTCCTCCCTCTCCAAGTCAGGCATGCCACATTGTTGTAAGGCAGCCCTGTTCAAACCCTGAAGCTAAACAATACGCTATTTTCTCTTGCTCTGTTTCATTAATTTAATATTCTGAAGAATGAAGCATACTGCCTGCCATAAGAGCATCAAGCAAGCAAAATGGGTTTGATACGTTGTGCTAGAAGGAACACCTGCTGGAATGACATGAGTTCGCAAGCAGGAACAAGATTTAGCCTTTTCTTCTTCTTCCACTTGGAAGAATGTTCTTTCTGGGTTTTTGTTTGGTTGGTTTTGATTTTGGTGTCCACCTCCCGCCCTCTTTTGTATTTTTATTCCCCCATAGATTTCTTGTAGATCATTACCCTCCTTTCCCTAGCACTGATCTGGATTAGATGATGTGTGCATGCCACTGCCAGTCTGATTCCACTACACGGAATTTATTTCCAAGCAGAAGAGAAGGATCTGTACTTTCAGGGTGAGGTGTCAAGGGACGTATGTGTGCAGTGTGCTGCAAGGGTTATCTAGTCTGCTGTGACTTGCAGCCTTTTCCTTTCAGCACACCCTTGTGTAAGTAAGATCTCAGGTCTTAAAAGTTTAAAGTGGAATGGTTTTATGCAAAGCAAGTTGAATTTTTATTTCTTCTAAAGTCCTGTGTACAGACATGCAGGTGGGAAAGAACAATCCTAGAGGATTTAGGATTTGACTTATCCTGAACAATAGCTGCTTGAAACTGAAAATAAAATTTCAGGGGTAATCTGATTATTCTATGAACAGAAATTAGTTGGTTGGTTAGTGTGTAAGCCTTAGACCTGAACAGATCTCTCTTGGGATATATTTAACTAAACTTTTTCACATGTTTGGTTTTTGTTGTTTGATTTGTCAAGGTTCTTTTCCCCTGCCTTCCCAACGAATAGCAACAGTCTATCTACCCCACAGTGGTTAGTATAGCACAAAGCTTGATGCAGCCCTGGTTGAGGTCAAGCACTCCAATTCAAACCTCTCAAGGGCTTTCTCTATGTGTTGCCAGTGTACTGGTAAAAATGACTTTAAACTCTTGTCAGTGCAGTTACTGGTGCATGCATCACAGTCCCACTCAAATAAACCTGTCACAACACAGAGTCAGCAGCTAGAGAAGAGTACAAGGGCAGGCCTCTAGCTTTTCATTCGAGCATCACTAAACGTGCACAGAGTGCCCAATTATTTCAGCATTATTGAGCAAGCCTACAGGAGGACCCAAGCCTTGCTACATTAGATTTTCTTTAGTAATTTGCTCAAGTACCGCTGAGGACACTTAAAGGGCTTAAAACGGTGGCTGCAACCAGTTTCCTTTTCTGGATTGTTAATTCAGGTTTTCTCTTTCAAATTAACTTTCACTGCATGCTGTGCAGTAGCGCTGGGAGAACTGTTTAACACTAATTTTCTCAATTTTCAGCTTTTTTTTCATCATATAACTGCTTTTACAGTTACATATGTTTTGATTAGATGTGTACATGGCGTGTTTCTACTAAAAAGAGAAAGTAATAATACCTCTGTCAGAAAAAAAAATCACCAAAAGGGTAACATTCATTTGCCTTTTTTTTTAATTTTAAATTTTTTGTCGTTGTTGTTTTCCAGTTCAGTCTGAGTTTTACCAAATATGCTGTGTTCAAACATCTAGACATTTTTAAGGCACCAGGATGTTTGTGAGCATTGATATCTTGGATGGATCAGATGCATTGATTGATCTGATCAGTCACAGCTGATGTAGGTGATCAATCAGACAATCCCCAGCTCTCTGAACAAATTCAATATCTGTGTTTTGTTTTTCACAGCAGCAACAACTCCAGGCCCAGCACTTGTCACATGGACATGGTCTTCCCGTGCCGCTCACTCCACACCCCTCGGGCTTGCAGCCTCCAGCCATCCCACCCATTGGCAGCAGTGCTGGTCTCCTGGCACTCTCCAGTGCACTGGGGGGCCAATCCCACCTCCCAATTAAAGATGAGAAGAAGCACCATGATAATGATCACCAAAGAGGTAGGCGCTGCTGGAGGAGTGTGTGGCTTCATTTCCCTCCTTATATTTTAAGTTCTTCTGTTTAAAGTAAGCAAAGGGGAAGGAGGGGGGAGGAGTTTTCAGAAGAGCTCCTAGTTAATTACTTTAGTGTTTATTATCTAGCAGTAGCCAGAAATTGTGTTCAAGTGCTAGAAATCCAGTTTTATAAATCTGGCTGTACAGCATTAATAATTAACTGTACAGAAAAGTTAACATCTGTGCAATTTATTATTTAACACACATCAGGATTCTTTCTTCGGAGTATGATAAATGTATAATTTTATGTAAACTAACTAGTACTTTTCTCTTTCTCTCTTCCCCCACATGCCCATCCCCTGCCACCGTATCTCCCCCCGCTTACGCACGGGGGCTGCTCTCCATGCAGACAGAGACTCCATCAAGGTAGGATTCCATTTTGTAGGTGTAAAGGGTAACTTGATAAAGCAGCATGAATGCTGCATTTTTCCGAAGTGTGGCACAGAGTGGTGGAAAAAGTCACAAAATGGTTGTGATGCTTGTGTTGATTGGCAGCACCCTGCATAGTCTGTGTGTCACATTTAGGCAATGGCTGGTAGTGTGGCAGCTAGGATTGCAAGCAGCATGCTGACCAGTGAGTTTACTGGACCAGCACTGAGGCTGTTCTTGGATGGAAGGAAAGGTCTGCCCAGCGCCAATGTCCGAGCTTTTGAGACAGGAAGAATAAGCCAGTAGTCTTAAGTAATTTGGAAGCTGTAAATTGTAATTCTGATATTTCCTTATAATGCAGTTGAGGAAGGAGAGCTCTGTTGCTCACAGGGGAAGATGTGGGGTGCTGCCTTCTGTCCTGTAGTTGGAGAAGAGTGAGCTGCCCTTCCCTCTACCCTGTTAAATGTGACACTGAAGCTTGAACTGAGTATTCTACCTTCCTTATCCAAAAATTAATTTTCAGGTTCTGAGTGACTCTGCAGCCTACCCGAATCCTGTGTAAGGTGGTGTTCATTAGTAGATACAATGACATACTTGCAACTCGTACAATTTTGAGCGTTCAGTAATAGATACAAGTATGATTCAGTTTCATATGATGCTTTTCCATACTGATAGCCACCAGAGTGTCTCAGGGGCTCCTGAGGTTTTAATGCTGCAGATGGAGATGTGTCCATCTGCACATCAGCCCTGTCCTCTTCCTTGATGGGTCTGCTCTCCTAGTTTGCACAGTTTTCAGAAGCACAAGATCAAGCCTTATTAGGTGCTGCTGAGTGTGGAAAAAAAAAATACACTTCTCTTAGAAATGGCAAGACCAGCCTTACTGAGCCCTTAGAAACAGTTTGTCAAGTTTCTAGTCCTTTTTTTTTTAGGAATATATAATATATTCTAGGGGTTGGGCAGGTGAAGAAGGAGATGTTCATGGCGTGAGTCTAGCGTGCATTAGACAAGATTAGCAGGATCTTGTCAAGTGGATATTACCAGTGTGCCCTTGATGGTGTTGGGAGAAGCATGGTTCTGGGCACAGGCTTTGTCCTCACCAGAGACCTGTCCATCAAGGGCTGACACCAGGGCTGACACCTTGGTTCTTTGGCACTACAGGTGGGGATGTGTCCCACAGCCTATCCCAGCACACCTCTTCTGCCACTGGCACTCCTGACATGTCCCAGCCAAGCGCAGCTGAGCCAATTGTTGTCAGTTTTGCTGTTACACACGTGGCTCTGCATAACAACCAGGAGCTGACAGGAACTGTCAGTTTTCAGCGTGAGCAGCAGAGGCACTGAAGCTGTCTATCTGCTGACATAAGACAACAGCGTGTTGGATTTCACTTCAGCCTCTTTGTCGTGGGGGCTGGAGCTGCCATTGCTGCTCCATGCGACCAGGTGGGAGCACACATTAATGATGATTTTCCTAGAACACCCGCTCTTCACTGTGAGCAGATAAGTGTAGTCCATTTTCCTTTTTCCTGCCCTCAAGCTAACAAATGCAAGTGGGGCAGATACCTAACTGTGAGAGCACAAACCCACATGGTTTCTTGAGTGAGGCTACTTACCTATACAGTTGGATACTTAGTGATTTCATTCAAGAAAGTGACTGAGGAGAACTGCTAATACACGCCATTCACTGTTTCTAAACGATATATCCTAGTCATGTTTTTGTAACATTTGTGAGGTGTTGGGGTGTTTATGCTGGCATGGATGTTAGGGGGAGCGGAGCGTTTGTCCTGAAAAGCCTGTTTTTGTCTGGGATTGATTCAAAAGTGCTGTTACTCATAGAGCTTCCAGAAGGAAAGAAGGGCATCTACTTTGTGCAGTTCACTTTGAAATGATAAGTAGATGTTTGTCTTGCACGGTGCTCAGGTTGTGAATTGGCTCGTGTGTCAGCATTATGGGGCTTACTGCCAGCCTTGCAAGGTGAAATAGTTTGCTAATTTCCTTAAATGTTTTCAGTGATGCCCAGAGTAGCAGTTAGTCGCTTGTTCAATCGATCCCTCCTCCCTTAAGTGGTTCCCGGTTAAGAGAGGCTTTTTATGATTGTCTGCTGTGTGACTTGGGACAGTTTTTGTCAGCCAGAACCAGCTGGAGTCTGTGTGCTTGTATGAAATAATTTATTCATGCAGGATAATGCTCCTTAACATTGAACAGGTAATGAATGTGACATAAATTTCCTTCTTCCTTTTAATTTTTCCCTTTCCTCTTCCAATGTGCAAACAGGCAGGCTCTGGTACTCTAAATAGTAAGTAATTTTTGGCCATCTGTCAAAAGGAAATTTCAATACAAATTTAAATTAATGATGCCTGAAATTTTTTATAGCTCCTCTAAAAGCCTCTAATGTGCAGAAAATTCTGAATCTGCTGGTAGTAATTAGTGTAGCATGTAATGAGGATATGGGCAATGTTATACAGCCCCAGTGTAACGTTTTGATATGGTAGCAAAATTTTGATTTATATAAGGTTGTGCCTGGGTTTAATTGTGAGAGACACTTTAAAGTGTTTTCTTGCTGATACAGATTATTAAGCAGGGTGGATTTTAAAATAGCTCATGAAGTGTAAATTTACGCTTTAGTGTGCAATTTAGATAACAAAGGTACAGTAGCCATTTCTACAAAGAAAGGAATTTGGCTGAAATGACCCATTTCTTGTCACAACTTGCAGCGCTTTGAATTTGCTGGGCAGTTTTCTTACTGAAACTTGCTGTCTCTCGATGTACTGGTCCTGACTGTCCTCTTAGTTCAGGCCAGGGAGAAGGCAGTTTGCTTCACTCTACCAAATGTGGCATGTTAAGCCTGATCCTCCCCAGCACCTCCCTGGAGTGAGTAATTCACTGATGAAACTGAGTAGTCACCTTCAGGTAACATGAGATTGTCCAGGAGACGTTCCTAAATAATAGATCAGCATTGACACAGCAAGCTCTGTGGAGAAGGGCAGCTTTGGGAGCTCTTTGATTTCTTCTTGTATCCAGTCCTCCAAATTCTTTGCAAAGTTTGAAGTGTGGGAAAATTCTAAAGGCAGTAAACTGGGTCATGGGAGTGCTCTTTGTGCAGTGGCAAGGCTGTGGAGCGGACAAAAGGGAGGGAAGGCTGGCATGCGCCAGGGCTGTGCTCAAAGTGCAGCCCTGGCTTAAGGGCTCTGGGGAATATAATGTGTTTAGACAGAAAGACAAACAACTCTGCAGTTAACCGAACAGCTTTCCACAGAGGACTTGGTGCGTCTTCTTTTCAAAGACATAAAACTTCCTTCTTGTAAAAGAGGGAAAAGAAACAAGAAGGATTATTATTTTAAGTGGATTCTTCTTTGCTAACTGCACTCGCGTTTTTCCACCTCCTGTGAGAACTCGTGGTGCAGGAGGCATGTCTTTTTTTCCAGTCCTGGTATCATCTCTGGGACAAATGTGGCAAAGTTTCTCTGGTGCCTAACAAAGTTCCTTTTCTAATTCATTCCCTTTGGAGAAGCTATGGAAACATACTGTGTAAAAAGGCTCTGCCTGACAGAAAGTAGTGGGGTGCTGGCACTCTTCTTCCTGTAACTCTCAGTGCAGCAAATGTAGTGAGGGAGCTCCCAGATGCTGGCTGGGTTGTGGGCCTGCCAGAGGTAGCCTGGATGTCACAGAGCAGATTGTTCAGGAACCTCAGAGTTTTCTGAAACATGTGAATTCACGCGTGGGATCCAACATGTGTAGCTTTTTAATCACTTCTAAAGGTCTCTTGTTCTTTATATGCTTGTTATGCTTTGCTTTCCTTTTGAGGTTGGTTGGTTTGTTTCTTTGGGCCATATTTCAGGGGTTTTTTTGGTTTTTTTTCTTCATCTGATTTTTAAATCGTTTGGGGCAGAGACTACGCCTATAGCAGGACTTGACTAGGTGATGAAACCTTTTTTCATTTTTATCTGTTTCAGCAGCAACAAGTGCCAATAATTGAAAATTGCAGTCTTGTGACAGGAGTAAAACAGCTAGTTTGAGATTCCTCTAGGGGGAAGAAAAGAATTTTAGAAGAAAAAATCTGAAATAATGCATCAAATACAGCTTTGGGGTGGATTTCTGGCCAACATGCAGGTGAATTGGGAAAAGTCTGTCAGGGAAAATTGAGGTGAATTTAGAAATAAAATTACTTTTGCCTTAATCTTTGTGAAAGCTAATAATTACACATGTGGGCAATACAGGAAAAGTGGATGGATATGATTCCCATGTTCCATTTATATTTGTGGTAGCAGGTGCTCCAGTGCTTCTCAAGCTGTTAGCCACTATTAAGTGTTTAGACCTCTTTTCATTTAGTTGTAAGTAAGAGTAGGCTGTTTACTTCTGAATCCAGTGAGTAACTGCATGCTTGTAGGAGTTGTGTGAATGCACTTCTGGAAAGTACAAGGTACTTTAAAATAAAAATGTCCCAATATATAATATAAGACTTCTGGATATTACCAAATGTAATTTGTAAATTTTGTAAAACATAATTGTGTTGCTGACTTTGTTCTTCTGCTGATAGAGGAACACCACATAAACTGCTGTTATGTATTCTGTGGACTTTGTCCTAATTGTCAGGTTTCTTCTAAATGGGACTTCCTCTAGAGGCATGAGTGTCCTACCAAATGTGTCTGCATTCAGTGTATTAAACAAGCCAAAAAACAAAAAGTGGTTACAGACTTAAAGAAATGTGTAGGATTTATTTCCTGATAATTTTGTTATTTGACCAGTTAATCACCATTCAGCTGAAAAGCACTTCACAGGCTTGTTAAAATCCAGACATTTCAGACTCGTGTCGTGGATTCTGTTTGTACCTGTTGCTGTTCAGGAATAAAGCATTGCCTGTATTTTGCTTTCTGTTAGGTCGAAGCGGTAGTTTTAAACAAAGCAGATTTGAACTATACTGCTCTGCAAGAGTTGTGGTTTTGATGTTTGTGGGTGTTTCGGGGGTAGCATTACCGAAAAATAATGAGTAACTTCTGTTGG